TTACATTGCATAAGATCTTAAGTGGAAACCAGAACCCCATCCAGAATTGTCTGAGGTAGGAAATTTCCATTGGAAATTTCCACTGGAAAGGATGAGACCAGTCTGGAGCGGCCAGAAGATCAGAAGATAAAAGACCGGCAGGAAAAATCCAAAACAATCACGGCAGTCTGATTGATTACTACAAGAACAAGTAAGCTGTTCACCCAAGAGCCATCAAGGCAAGTGGTCGGGACCCCTCAGAGCAAACTCCCTTCCAAGACTAATACTCAAAGGGAATACATGAGCAAGCAGGTGGTCTGGCTGGTGACCATGTTGATCACCAATAAGGGGAAGAGACGGAAAAAACAACAATGAAGTTGCAAGCTAAATCCGACCACATTCAATAGACCCCTGTGAACCCGGATGGAGACCTGGATAGCCAGCAGTATGGCAAGACCCGGGGACTCCTGGGCCCAGAGGCAGTGACATGGCCACAGGGGACTAGAGTGGAGAGTGAAGCATCCAGCTGAAGTGAAGTGAGTGAAGATGCACAAAAATACCCATACTTGCAGATAGTACCCATTTAACCTAGCTTCGACGGCTGGATGATCAGAACTCAACTATAAGAGGGGGGAAAAAAAAAAAGAGTAACCTGCTACAATTTGATGAAATTTACCTATACTTATGGATGTAATAGCTCAAAAAAGGGAACAAATCTTTACAACAAATCCTACCCCCTCGGTACACAGGGTTGACAGGGATGGGCAACTTAGACATTGGCTACCCAAAATGGGGAGGCCTATAAATGCAAAAAAGGAGCTCTGGTAGCGTAGTGGTTACGAATCGGGCTGTGAACCTTTAAGGTCAGCGGTTCGAAACTACCAGCCACTCCACGGGAGAAAGATGAGGCTTTCTACTCCCGTAAAGATTTACACCCTCGGAAACCCTGTACAGGGTCGCTATGGGTCAGAACTGACTCAACGGCACTTAACAACAACAAATAAATGCAAAAAGTGGCTGGCTTACAAGCTTTCAAGAGGGAGCCTAGTTCCAGATGCTACAGGGGAAGGTAGAATCTCCACTAAATGATTTCCAATCCATTGGGACCAGGCTGGCAAAAGGAAATGGGGATAAGACTCTTGTGGTACAACAGTGAATAATTGCCATCAGGACTGACAGTGAGGGTAGGAAATATAGAGGTAGATGTGCTGACGGCCGGGTTTGGTTATTTGATGATGCAGGGAGGGAACTGTAATCATTGCAATGAAACGAAATACAATAGGATGAATGAAAAACTGATAGTCTTCCAAGTAAACCTCACAATAAAAACTTATTAGAAAAAAAAAATAGAAAGCTATGGATAACATTGTGAAGAACGGGTATTCCAAAATACTTCATTGGGCTCTTAAGGAACCTGTACATACACCAAAAGGCAGTTGTTAGAACAGAACAAACAAGGGGATAGGGGTGCTTTAAAATCAGGAAGGGTGTGTACCAGTGTTGTATTTTCATATTATTTCATCATACTTACTCAATCTGTATGTTGAGCAAATAACACAGGAAACTGTTATTATATGATAAAGAACGTGGCATCAGGATTGGAGGAAGACTAACAACCTACAACATGTAGATGATAATAACTTGCTTGCTAGAAGCAAAGAGGACTTAAAATACTGATGAAGATCAAAAACTAGAGACTTCAGTATGAATTATATCTCAGTATAAAGAAAACAAAATGCCTAACAACTGGAACAATAAATAAAATCATGATAAAATGAAGAAAAAAATTGACATTATCCAAAATTTCATCTTGCTTGGATCCACAATCAACACTCATGGAATCAGCAGTCAAGAAATCAAATGACATATTACATTAGGCAAATATTCTGTGCAAGACCTCTTGAAAGCGTTCAAGAGCAAAGATACCAGTTTGAGGACTAAGGTGTGCCTGACCCAAGCTATGATATTTTCAATCACTTTCTATGTATGTGAAAGTTGGACCATAGAAGAATTGATGCATTTGAGTTACGGTTTTGGAGAATAATATTAAAGGCCCCATGAATTGTCAGGAGAACAAGCAAATCTGTGTTGGAAGAAGTACAGCCAGAATGCTCCTTAGAAGCCAGGATGGCGAGACTTTGTCTCTCAAACTTCAGACATGGAGGACATCATGTTTGGTAAAGTGGAAGGTCAACAAAAAAGAGGAAGACCCCTAAGAAGATGGATTGCCACAGTAGCAATGGGCCCAAGCACAACTGTGAAGATAGCACGAGACCAAGTAGTGTTTTGTTCTGTTGTGCATAGGTTTGCTGAGTCAGAACCAACTCAACAGCACCTAACTACAGCCACAGCATAGAGCAGCATGTCATCCTGCCAAAAGACGTCACTTAAGAACACTGAGTTCCAGCTTGAAATCACTATAGGCTTCCAGTCCCTCCCCTGCCTTTGTCCCTTGCCTCTCTGTGACGTCACTTGTTCTGGGGGGAAGTCAAAGGGAAAATCATAATCAGGATGCGCAAAATGTCTGTCTGAATGTGTGTGTGTGTGTGTGTGTGTGTGTGTGTGTGTGTGTGTGTAGGAGTGTGACTGGGGCCATACGTCAGAGGCAATCTTTGCCCCAAAGGAAAAGCCCTGGGCAGTGATACCCAGGAAGAGAAGGGGCATAGTCTCACACCCAAATAGGACACTCATTCTCACCTTCTTCATACCCAGGAAGCTGGGATGCCCATAGGCTCCCAGGTGTCATTTCCTGCAGCCCCAAAGAGATGCTGATAAACTATGTCATATTGACTTTACTTAAAGCAAAAGTCACCCTTGCATAAAAATGTTTAAGAAACAGTCAGATGGCCAAACAGCAGAAAGGATCCCTGCTTATGGGGACTGAGTCAGGCAACCATTTACAAAATTCTACGGCTCAAACACCAAAGCTTCTAAGTTTCAATTAAATGTGAAAAGTGTGGACTTCTAGGATTCTTGTCATTCAGTAAGGCTTATCAAGGTCAGGTCTGTGCCAAACCCTGTCCTAGATACTGTGGACCAGAGGGGGTCAAGGCCTGGTTTCTGGCATCACAGAGGCATCTGGGAGCATGGCCAAGGAATCATTTATTTTGTCCAGAGGAGACAAGGAAGAGTAAACAAAGAACAGATTGAAAAACTAAGTAACTCCTGCTTTACAACCTTCCCTATACAGGATCGCTATGAGTTGGAATTGACTCGAGGGCGCTTAACAACAACTATACAACCTTGGACTCCTGGTATGGTGCTGTAGGATAAGTACTGGGCTGTGAACCACGAGGTCAGCAGTTCAAACTCACCAGCTGCTCTCCTTGGAAACCCTATATAGGGTCGCTATGAGTCAGTACTGATTTGACAGCACTTAACAACAATATGGCCTTGGTGGGAGAAAGATGAGGTCTTCTGCTCCGGTGAAGATTTAAATCCTCAGAAACTCTGTACAGGGTCACTAGGAATAAGAATTGATTCTATGGCAGTGGACATATGACCTTAGACAACTCTTGGCAACCTCTCTGAGTCAGTTTTCTCACTTGTAAAATGAGGTTCCTCTGTCCAAAATTCGGTCAACGGTTTTTTTCCAGTTACTGTGGTGCTAGGCACCATGAGCAACAAACGCTCTCACCACATCCTCCACGAGGCATGCGGGAAGTCCTGCACAGGAACTAGCTGTAGTGCCAGAAGTTTTTAAAAACAGTGGAACTGCAGATCAACTTGAAGAACTATGATTGTCAGATGGATAAACACTTCTTGGGTCATAGGGCCTAAGCTCACCCCTCACCCCAAGTTCTGTGTGCCCTTGGGAGCCAGCCAGCCAGCACTGTGATGAAACAAAGACTATGGGTAGCCTTCTCAGTGACATCAAGGTACTCAAGAAACGCAACAAGAATAAGAAACTGGTCAAAACGCAAGCCAAGAAGCCTTTTTGGCAGAGGCCCTTCCTTTCAGAGGAAGTGACATATAATTTAAGACATGACATCAAGAGTTTGACACAGCAGCATGTGCAAAGTCTTACAGAGGCAAAAGAATAGGAGGAACTGGAACTCAGAGGTGAACAGAGAACAAGACAAGGTGGTAAGGTCCACAGGAACTCAGCCATGTCAAGGACAACCTAAGGATTCCAGGCACAGCATAGAGTCCAATGGCATCCCTACCCCACCTTTCATCTGCTCTTCTGCATCAATCCTCCTAACCAAAAATGACTCACCATCCCTGGCTTTCGCTCTAGATGAGCACGTTCTCAACCATCACAAGTAGTTTTTGCCATCACTTCCCAAGAAATGTAGCTTCTCAGGCCAAATTCTGATTCCTCCAGGAAACATCTGGTGAAGTTTCAGTAACCATCAGATAGCTCTGAGTGCCATTATTATCTTGTGGCACTGTAGGATAAGCACTGGACTGCTAACTACAAGGTCAGTAGTTCAAACCCACCAACCACTCTTTGGAAACCCTATTACAGGCTTGCAATGAGGCAGAAATGACTTAACAGCACTTAACAATAGATGAGGACACTAAGGCTCAGAGAGCTAAAACACAGCTACTCTATATCCTTTTCTTTGTACAACTCTCCCTAGTATGTAGAGTTTGGGGAGCCTTGGTGTGGCTAAGCACTCGACCTCAAGGCTGACTGTTCAAACTCACCACCGCTCCTCGGAAACCTTATAACTTAACACGTTTCTTGGCTGTTAGGATTCTGCGTTCCGTGTGCTGGTGCAAGCCCAGAGACTCAAGTGCCATCCATGAGCCCCTCTCTGCACCGCCTCCCCGATCCAACTTCACAGACCAGCCGAAGGACAGGATCCTGGCGCCCCCTAGTGGCCAGAGGCCCAAATCCGAAAGCCTTGGTGGGCGGGAACTAACGATGTACTTAGGGCAGTTTTTCTCCTAAGGCAGCTAGCTGGGGCAGAGGCGGGAATGGGGAAAGGCGGGGAGTCCAAGGTTCCACCCTAAGAAACTTCCTCGTTGGGGTTGCTCCGCTGAGAAGCTAAGTGGCTGCCGACCCCAGAGCCATGGGTTCCGCACGCGACGCCATCCTGGAGGCGCTGGAGAACCTGACGGCTGACGAGCTCAAGAAGTTCAAGATGAAGCTGCAGACGGTAAAGATGCGTGAAGGCTACCGGCGCATCCCACGGGGCACGCTGCAGACTGCGGACGCCATCGACCTCACTGACAAGCTCGTCAGCTTCTATCTAGAGGAGTATGGCGCTGAACTCACGACGTTGGTGCTGTGTGAAATGGGCATGCAGGAGACCGCTGGACAGCTGCAGGAGATCATGCGCCAGAGTGAGTGCCCCACTTCCTCATACAGGGGTCCTGGCCCCTCACCCAGTTTCCCTACTGCCCCAAACATTGTCCCCTTTTGCTTTCTGTTCCTCCTGCCTTCTAAAAACAAAAAAACAGGCAGGAAGGTTTCCCGCCTAGGCTCTGACTCCAGAGACTGGAGGAACTGTGGCAAACGAAAGGAACTCTTGACTCTTTCCTTCCAGGCAGTGGAGGCGCAGCAGCTTCAACAGCCCGTCCAGCCCCATTGCAGACGGCAGCCAACCCAGGTGAGGCCTCCACTTCACCTGCTTGAATTCATCTCCATGCCCTTCTGCACAGCCTGTCTGCTGATGCTGTGCCAGACTTAGGAGAAGGCAAGGTTGACTCAAGCGCCTTCCCACCCACCCAGGTGGCCTGGTGGGAGGGAGACGGAAGATAGTAGTTCTATCTGGAGTCCTGGTGGGATTATCCTTGGGGTTGGAGTTTAGCAGGCAGCCCCCAGCATCTACTCTGCCAGCTCAGTGCTTTGCTTCCTGACCCCCAGGGCTGCACTTTATCGATGAGCACCGGGCAGCCCTCATCTCGAGGGTGACGGCAGTGGGCGGTGTGCTGGACGCCCTACATGGGTCGGTTCTGACTGAGGAGCAGTACCAGGCAGTGCAGGCAGAACCCACCGATATCATGAAGATGAGGAAGCTTTACAGCTTTGCGCCGGCCTGGAACCGAAACTGCAAGGACCTGTTCCTCCAGGCCCTGAAGAATACCCAGCCTTACCTGGTGGAAGACCTGCAGAGATGAGGTGGCCTCCCCAGCAATGGTTCTCCCCCAGGCAGTTACAGCTCACTGATTTTATTACACAATATACGAAAACCCAGCTTGGACTCATGTCTTTCTTTCCAGCCTACAAGCACATGCACAAAGAACGAAGCTCAAATTCCAAAGGCTCCCCCAACCATGCATTTGCCCACCGTTCACTTCCTGCTTCAGTCACCAGGGAGTATTTCCTCCTCATCCACCACGTGGTGGCTCCTTTAGTGCTCCCTGAGAGAGGCACACCTTGAGATGTCAGGTGTTAACTCCTGTGCTCAGGTGTAAAAGTTAAATGGAGGCATGCACCTAGAACCAGAGAGGGTTGGTTGGTCAGGGGCTTTTACAGACTAGTCTACAGAGCTTCTCATCCTTGCTTTTTCCATGGAGAAAACTGAATGACAATAGAAAGGACAAAAGAGGAAAACCCACCAACTGTATCTCTAGGGTTCCTTCTAGCACTGGCTCTGACACTAGGTTTAATTGCTCCTCTGCTTTACCCCATTCCCAAGAGACTGTAGGTTATTGTCCAGAAAAACGTCAACCACAGCAAAAGCAAAACTCAAATGGTTCAAGTTTCAATTTCTTCTAATAAAATTAATTTTTGTCCATTAGGAATTTCTCTAGGTGAAATAGCACTTAAGGGGCAGTTGCAGGCTTCAGACCCTAAGACTACATCCCGAGTGGTTTGCACCCAACCCCTTTCTGGCCTTCAGTGGGATGGTCATGTACAAAGCACTAAGTAGGCACCAAGGAAACACAATGGGACACTTTAGGGTCCAACTATGGGGTTGCAAAGAGCCAGGTTCTGCCATTCAATTGCTGCAAAGCTCCTGTGTACAGCTCACCTAGATCACACAAGAACTAGCAAACACACAGTGCAGACAGGCTGTGCGAAGTGCATGGAGATAAAGCCAGGCAGGTCAAGTGGAGTGTGAAGACCTCATACTCCTTCTGAAGTATAATCTCATTCTGTACAAGGTGACTTAATGGATCACCAGAGCAACAGAAGAAACCAGTGACTTGCTGCAAAGTGGAGCTGCCAAGTGTGGCCACTCACAACAATCTGATCATGAGACTGATCCTGATCCTACATGGGGTTCCGTATCAGTCCTCACACTCGGTATAGCCTGTGGACTCATCTTTCCTCAATCAGCCACCCCATAAAATCTAGTGCTCTTCAGTCCATCCTGAAGTTAACCCTTTTCTCTTAAGTCTTTGAGGTCTCATCATTCAATTCCCTGAGCTGTATTCACTTGTGCTCCACTAGGGCCTATTAAGTGCCGTTGAGTCAGTTCCGACTCATAATGATATTGTGTAAGGTTTCCAAGGTGCAGCTGGTGAGTTTGAACCAGTGACCTTGCAGTTAACAATCCAATATTTATCCTACAGTGCCACACCAGGACTCCTAGCTGTTTCCAAAACCAAAGGTGCTCTTCTGTATTAGTGTAACCAGAAAGTCAAAATGAATCACAGTATCTTTCATAATTTTACTGTTTACTTATAATCTTAGTAGCCTCCATAATGGAGTCCTGGTGTGGTACTACTGTAGGATAAGCACTGGACCACAAGTCAGTTTGAACCATGAGGTTGGTGACTCCATGGCACTTAACGACTTCATAATGCCCAGATACATAGTCGCCTACCTCTTTAGACAAGCAGCTCTGGTAGGGGTGCGAACCTCAAGGTCAGCAGTTTGAAACTACCATGTTGTTCCACAGGAGAAAGATGAGGCTTTCTGCTCCTGCAAAGATTTGCAACCTCGGAAACCCTATACAAGGTCACTAAGAGTCAGAACCAACTCCATGGCACAGAACCACCACCACACCACCTCTTTATAGACTTACAGCCAACTTTTTCCTTTTCAACCTCACTGCCCTATCGGTTTATGCCTAACGACTCACCAGTAACAGGCCTAACTGGTATTCCGACTCTAGTCTACATCCAAGGATCTGTGTGATAAGAACTGTAGCCCATAGGTTGTTGTTGTTATGTGCCATGGAGTCAGTTCCGACTCACAGCGACCCTACACAGGGTTTCCGAGGCTGTAAATCTTTACGGGAGCAGACCACCTCATCTTTCTCCCGTGGAACTGCTGGTAGTTTCGAACTGCTGACCTTGCGGCTTGCAGCCTGATTCGTAACACCACCACGCTACCAGAGCTCCTTGTAGCCCATAGGTAAGGACATGTAATCACTCCTTCCAGTCCAACCCTTTATCAACCTATACTACCTCTTCTCCCCTCATCCTCTTCACATATACCACAACCCTAGCAACACCTACTTGCTCACACCTGGTGCCTTTAAAGCATGCTGCACTGGATTATCTTGAAATCTTATGTGTCCCAGCACACCAGTAGGCATGCCTTCCACTAGGTTCCAATGGTATTTACTTTCCAGAACAAATCACACTACCAAGGGCTATGTCTACATTGTTGTTAAGTGCCTTCAAGTCGGTTCTGACTGATAGCAACCCTGTATAGGGTTTCCGAGGAGCGGCTGGTGAGCTTGAACTGCCGCCTTATGGTTCAAACCAAATTTACAGTCCAGCGTCTTAACCCACAGTGCCACACTCCATATCTACATAGGACCGCCCCATTAGACTAGAGAAAAAAAAAACAGACCTAGCTCTTCAAATCTGCACATCTCACACAAAGTGATCAACAAATGCTTATTATTATGTAGTGTCTAACAGAGTTTTCAAAATAAAACGTCACGAGATGTATGGCATTCTTCAGAACAGCATCTACAAACCACAAGTGTAGGCAGGCCTGAAACAAAGAAGTGGTCCCAAGCAACAACTTCTGTAAGATGAGTATTTTGGGGGAGTAGGGACCTCCTTTGCAGGGGAAAGCTGAGTTTTACTGGACGTCTTCTCAGATCTAAGGAAAAGCACAGTGGTTAAGGGCAGAAGTTCTGCAGTGAAAGAATATAGGACCAAATCCCAGCTCCACCTGTCACCCACTTTGAGACTTTATGTAAAGTGATTACAGGATACAGCTTGCCACCTCATACCAAGTTGTTCACAAGAACATAAAATGTCAGTAATAATCCCTACAATGAAAATTGCTCCTAGCTCCAGTGGTGGACAACAGCATCTGAAACAGACATATGCTGAGCTGACTCCATTATCTTGTCCAAACCTGAAGCACAAACAAGAGAGACTTTCGGCTAGATGGCAGACTAGGCAGATGCAATAAAGACCCTCTACCCCAGTGCTACAAGACACCAAATTAAACAGACACAGATGAAAACCCTAGAACTTCAGAGGAAAGGTTAGAGAAGTGAGCATGGAGCATGGAGTCAGGCTAGCTCAGCTCAAGACCTAAAGAAACCAGAGCCACCAGACCAGCATTGTTCTGTGAGTGCTGTTAAGTCGATTCTGACCCATAGTGACCCTACATAGGGTTTCCAAGAAGTGGCTGGTGAGCTTGAACCGCCAACCCGAAGTTCAAACTGACTTTGCAGTCCAGTGCATTAACCCATAGTGCCACAGAAGAAACCCTTATCAATCACCCTGGCCCCAGCTGCCACATGGTCCATCAAGGGCCTTTTCAAACAACTTCCAGATTGTATACCCAGAACAGACATAAGCCCTAGGTCTAGAGGGACTCCATCCTAGGACCAGAATCCTAGTCACATACCTTCTACATCTACCACGGGAGCTCCTTGGCTGGCAGGAGCACCCCATTTTCTCCTCAGTCCAACAGCTACACTTGGTTTACGTTTACTGCCCTTTCTTTGTTTCTATTTATTCTTCCTTTTCTTTCCATTCCCTTCCATTTTATCCTTTCCATCTGTTTTTGTTTCTCCTTTTCTTTTCAACTTTTACTGCTCTCTTCTACTCACCTTCCCTCTCCCTGGTTTTTCTTCCTTTTTCTTCTTTTATTTTTCCTATTCTATAGTGCTATTTTCCTGTTCTTTTTAATTACTATGTGGTTTCCTTCTGGTTACTGTTTTTTTATTTTCTCTTTCATTATTGACTACTTATTCTGTTTTGCTTTCGTGTGGGGGGTTGGAGTTAGGTAGGGGTAGTTCTCTTTCCCACCCAATAGGAGACAGCATACAGCCATGCTCATACAGTCCAGACACAAGTATACCCTCTGCAGCTTCACCCACTGGGCAAGAGCCAATACCAACTCCTATACCAGCTCCTGTACCACCTGACCAAAGATAGACTGCAGCCAACACCAGCCAAACCCACCCTAAACTGAAGTGTAAAGAGAACAATGCCAACACTTGCATTCTCTACACCCACAGGAGACAGTTGGTGAGAGCCCAAGAACAAAGAACATACAATCACCAATTAAATAAAAATACAACAGCCCCATAATGTCCCGGAGACATTAGCTCACATGAAAAAACAAAAGAGAATGGCTCAAACATATGACCAAGATGCACAGCCAGAAATTGTTTCTAAGGAAGAAAAGGTAATGGAATTAACTGTAAAAGAATATGTAGATACCTTTAGAGGATTGAAACACAGATCAAGGAAAGCAAGTAGAATACAGAAGGAAAAAAAAAACAGAAGAATTCAGGAAAACACTATAAGAACAGACAAAATAAATACAATTTCAAAACAACTCAATTAGAAATCCAGAAGATTAAAATGAGATTTCAAAACAGACAAATACATTTAAAAAGGCAAAGTAGTAGATTCAAAGTAATGGAAGCCTGAATTGAGCTTGAAGATATCTCAATAACAGTTATGTAGTTGTTGTTGTTCAGTACCGTGGAGTCGGTTCCAACTCAGTGACCCTGCACAGGGTTTCTGAGGCTGTAAATCTTTACGAGAACAGAACGAGGCTGCCTCATCTTTCTCCCGCGGAACCGCTGGTAGTTTCGAACTGCTGACCTTGCGGTTTGCAGCCCAATTCGTAACCACTACACTACCAGAGCTCATAACAGTAAGAATAAAAAAATTAATTCAAAGAAAGTCTAAGAGTTATGTGGTACATAATGAAAAGAACTTACCAGTGTTCAGAATTCCAG